TATATGAATTAATTCTTGATATAAGAACATTATTGGTTAAGTCTGTACAACAATGATAGCAATAATTCAATTGCATTCTAACAATCACAAAAATTGATTTCAATTATTGCAAGGACTTGATTTGACTGTGCATTAAATGGAACTAATTTTTACATAACTTTCCAAGTAAAGCGATTAAATTTTTTGTTTTTAAAATACATTTACACGCAAAAATGTAATAGGTTTCTAGCATTTTTGAGGGGAAACTAAAACATTCCAACTGAAAATATTTTGTATTATTCTTCTTCATTATTTCATTTTTTACAAAGCAATAGGAAAATTTATATTTTCAATGAAATCTTTTTAGCACCAGAAAATAAGGGTTAAAATAATTCAACGCTTTTCATTGCAAAAAATGACGGAAAAATTTGACACTTAATTTTTTCTAAATTGAAAAGGCAACAAAAATTCTTAAATTTTCAAAATTTTGAAATTGCATTTACACTGTAAGACAAATTTTTGACCGGAAAACCCCTAATAAAATGCGAATTATCACAAATTTATCTTTTTTCACTGTAGATAAAATTTAACCTTTTGATTTAGGAAATTTTGCGCAGATCTTCTAAGAACTGTTTATGTATGCAGTGCAATTTTTCTCAATTTCCAATGCACCGTGCCAAATCAACAAACATTGTAACGCAGTCCATCGGGTTCGTTAACACTTTGCCCGCTGCGTTAATTGTTGAGCAAAACAATAAACAAACCTTATTACAATCTATCAGCGATTGGTGCAACGCGAGCGCGTGTGAATTAATTAGGTATTGTCGGAAAAGCGTGCACGCGCGCGCTTATTTTGGTTTTGAGACGTCAAACGGCTATCAGTGGTTGATGATCTACCTCACCGCGGCTTTCATAACGCCGCGTAATATATTTAGTGAGTGTGTTGCGCAACCGGCGGCCGCAGACAGAAAACACGGCAGTCCGTGTTCGGTTGGCCGTAGCCTTGATTTTTTAGAGGTGATGATGTCGTTGTTGAGCTATGTTACCGTCGGAGCCAATGCACTCGACCAACGCCACACACACAGGGTTACGAAATCGACAGACATTAAGTACACGCAAAGCAACGCCGCCGCGCATTTCATATTTTATTTATAAATTTCAATATACTTGACTGCTATTCAAGTTCAACTTTGGCTCAACACACTTCAGTCGATCAACCAAAATAATTTTTTTTTTTATCAATTTCTGTATTAAAAACACTATTTATATCCATTCATTATACATACACAAATTTCACATTCAACAACACACAAGTGTATGACAAAATGATATTATATAAATATAAAAACTTTGAATTTCATAATATAGAAAATAGGATGGATCTAAAAACCTTGGACTTGAGTTCATTATATCATTGGCAAATTATATGTTGCTTTTTAATGCTCTATGAGTAAGAGAATAATTCAATGCATAATCTATCAGTGGATTTGTAAACTTTTATACGTAATATATTGGGTAGCTTGTTGGCTTGAGCCCTTTTTATGGAGCAGAATGCACCATAATTATCCAATTTTTGATTATTTTATTTTAGGATTTTGTTTTGGAAATCAAGCATGAAAGTTTTTGGCACATACTTACTTGAAGCTATTGACTGCTGAAAACAGTAATAATGCTAAATTGATAGTTTTCGTTGGGTTTCGGTCAATTTATCTTGATTTTATTTTCCAAACAAATAAGTCTCAAGTTCCATTGTCCAATCATTTCTTTATTAAAAATGTGAAAATAGTTTCAATTGCTTGGCACAAAATCATAATTTCCTTGGCAATATGTATTTGATGTTTAAATTATTTCTATAAAATTTAACTAGATAATCAAAAATTAGTTCCAGATACGATATTTGGAGCATCTCTCAATGAATTTAAAAATCTAAATTTCTAAATCAGCTTGAAATGCAATATAAAAATCTTAAAACCTTAAATTCATAATTACTGTGAACATCTGGACATTATGATCCTGCAAACATTAAAAACAAACTGAATACTTAATTTTTATTTTTTTAGACTTGAAGGAAAAAATCAAAACTTCAAACTATTTATATTGATAATGAATTATTATGCAATTCACTTATTCGTTTCATATTCAAATTACTCATTTAAAATGTTAAATTCAACAAAATTATGTAAAATTCATTGGCAAGAGTTAAAATATGGAAACTAAATTTTTATATTTAAATTAATGCTCGGCGCCTGTGTAGGCAGATTTGCTATAAATAAATATGGATCGATTAGTGAAAAAAAAAATCAAGTTGCCTGTGTTGTGGTAAACAAAGTCACCGCGACCTGAGAGAGCACTTGATGATAAAAATAGCATGCAAAAGGAATCAGTGTGTGCACGTGCAGGGGACACACAAGTGCGTTGGACAAAGTCGAGATGCGCAATACTCGCGCCGTGCAGAAAGCGAGATATTATGACTATCGGAGAGAAACAAACACCCAAGTGCAGCCGCACAAATCTCGGCGCAATGTCCGCGCGCGAAGTTAGTCATTATCGCCGGTTGGAGAGGAAATAATAATAATATGCACACAAGTATAAACGGCAGGCAATTTAAATACACTCGAGTGAAATGAGTCAACCATCGCAGAGGGGAAACCGCGAAGGCGGAAGATGGAAAAGAAAATTTAATTAGAACACATTATGAAAACATAAATAAGCTTCATTATAGCGTGAACAGAATGACAAAGTATTCAATTTGTGAGGAAGTTCATTTATTTCATTTTTACGCAAGATATATTTTCATTAATTTATGTAATTTTTAACCTACTGCTAGGCGCCATTGTTTTTCAGAGGGATTGATAAAAGCAATCAAAGGTAGTACAAAAATAATTAAGAAGGATATTTAAACTTTATTCTATTCTAGAATTAACGTCAAAGCTTTTCAAAGAATGCTAAAAATGTATGAATACATTTTTAGCATTCTTTTGAATTCAAAATTAAGTTTTTTTCTTATTAAGTCATCAAGTTGCTTTAAATTTTTAGTAAAATTTGTTGTGTTGTCAATTTGAGAATTTAGAGAGAAAGAAGTAAAAAAAGGTTTCAACAAGACTATTTTTCTATAAAATTTATAAATCAGAAGCAAATAAAAAAAATTTAATAAAAAAATATATAGATGAAAGATTTGAACCTCCCATGCTAACAATAGACACCACTTCTCACGAGAGGCGATTGACCCAACAAGAATAAATTGCGTCATGATATTTTTTTGTCACTTTAAATTTCATTTCCACACTTTTTTGCGACAAAATTGACTGGTATTTAAAATAGATGGTTTAAATTTAAAATAATTATAAGCGCCTTCTTGGAGTTATAAAAATAAATAATGTTACTATTTATCTTCATCATTATTGATAAAGTTCAGTTGTGCTACAATAAACGCTTCCTCATGGAGCTCCCTCCGCAAAAGTGCGCGTACTTGCAGCTGCGATATTTTTATTGTGACGCAATTACCTCGGTGAGGGTTATCATGAAGAGCGAGTTCCGCATGCATGCCAGCGCAGAGAGCCGGTGGTGCTCTTATATAAACAGTTTATGTGCATGTGCACTTGGATGCTTACTTGACGCCACTTTGCATATACCGAGGAGTGAAGTGAGGGGCCGTTCTCCAGTGGCCGTTTGTTGTGTTGCAAAAGACGACCAACAACAAGAACACTCACTCGTTGGCTGTAATGCTAACCTTGATGTGTGCTAATCCGGCGCGGTAAAAATAAAGCGCGCGTGATTAATTTACAACCAAAAGCATTGACCTTTTGTTCTTCTTCTTGTATCTCGGCGGGGAGATTTGCGCCCAGAGTGCGACTCATGACTTTCCGCGATGCACCGATCGATCTGCGTGGTTGTGTAATTGTCAGGCGCGTGTACAGTTCACGCTCGCATTGCAAAAATAAATAATCAAAAGCTTTCAAAACAACATGATTCCCTAATGAACGCGTCATGCATGAAATGGGGTCGAGAGAGAAAAATGGAGATAGAAAGGGGATGACGCAGGGGACTGGAAAATCATTGAAATAAAATTCAATTTTAAATTACTTTGAAAAAGACCTATTCCAGAAATTTTAAGAAATGCATTTAAATTGCTTTCAAATATTAGAATTAGAATATAATTGATAAAAAATAAATTGCTATAATGGTGTTATTATTTTATTATTATCTTTAATCAATGAATAAACTGTCTTTGCTGCATAAATCCTAAAAAACTGTATATAATTAAAATATAAAAAAATCAGCAGGAAATATTAAAGACATCAGCCTCTAAAACAAATTTTTTCAGACATGCATGTTAATTTCATTAAAAGTAAAACTTCTGTAAATATAGTAATTTCGATGGGTCTCAAGGTACAAAAAATCAGGGAGAAAGGGAGAAATCAAATTCTTGCACTACAAATATTCTACGAAAAGTTATTCAGGTATATTCTCTGCAAGAAGAATTAAAAAAGAGATATTAAATGACTTAGTGTTTAATTTTTGTGAAACCAAATCAAATGAAAAGTTTAGAATGGCTTCAAAATAAAATTTAAGGATTAGAATTAGAAACAACCTGTTAGAGCAGCAGAATCGGCTGCTCCAATTTCCTCTTTATATATTTTTAAAACTAGCACCACATAGCAAACTAAATGAATAATTTAAGAGTGCTAATTTTCCTTGATCTAAATATAGCCAAACCCAAACTGTGAACTTGATTCCCAAATTGGAAGCAAAAAATAGCACTATCAAAGTTAAATAATTCAGCCTTTTGTAATTTAATCAATAAAGGGATATTTGGGAATATTGAATGTGTGCAAAAAGTAATTTGCATCTCGTCCACGTGAATAAATGCATGCAAATACGGCGCCTCGCGACCTTACATAAGGGTGCTTGCGGAATGGCATCATTATAAATATGATTTATAGAAAGAGCACGTGGCCGCGACGGTCGCCGCGTGAGCCTTGCTTGCGCCTAACACAGGGGTGGTGGGCACATGCAGCCCCACTTTGGTACAATCTGCACGATACACCGCGATTTCTAGTGTCACAGACACCGCAGGCAAGGCAGGACACCCTCCGTCTCGCTGCTCCTCGCAATTTTTTTCGCACACTCGCCAAAAGGAATTCCTCTCTCAGGTCAGTATATCTGTGGTTCAATCATGTGAATTTTCCCTGCTTTTATAATTTTCTTTTGAAGTTTTATTTTTCTCTCAAATATCTAATTTTGGACAAGAAAATCGCGTAAATAAAAGGAAGCAATTCAGACATCGCTGCACACTATAGACTTGCGTACAATTAGATTATTTTTAGCCTTGGAAAATCATGCATATCTCGCTCTCCGCATCAATCGCTCTTCTTGCACTTGGCGAATGCCAATCAACGCTGCACGTGCTGCTGCGATCCGAGCAATTTGCAATGCCAAACCAATCGGTTATGAGACAACAAACCGCGCGGGTGAGGAAAGACGACTTTATAGAGAAGATTGGAGACTTCAGTAAATATGAAGGCAAAACCCACGCACGTACTTGATATCTGAACATTACAATTCATTCAAAACACTCACATTTTATGCATGATAAAATTTAAATGAAATTAATAATTAATTCTTTGGAAATTCAATAATAAAAACTCAATCAATTAAAAGCGACATAAAAATTATCAACAACAAATTTGAAATCAATTAACAAGAAAAATGTTATGCTAATTTTTGCTAATTTTTCATCTACGTTTTAACGAATGGAAAAATATACAGTTGAAATTCTTTGCCAAATAAAATTGCCCGGATACCACACGCAATTCCACCCCGTGGGAATAACAAGGCAATTTTATCATTAGCCTCTCTCGCGAAAACTTGAAATCTCAAGCCAGAAATAATTGCTTCATTCCCAAAGTGAAGTGAATGAGCCAAAAAGCAATCTGCGCTGAATTAAAAGCAAGCGAATTAAACTCAATTTTTGAACCTCTGCAATGGCATTGCGCCGTGGGAGTTTTGGTTAATGTGTGTATTTACACATGACCGCAGTGCACCGCCCTTTCAGAGGCTGGACATATTTGTAGAGATAAAATATTTATATATAGGCGAGAGGGAGCAACAGCACCATTAAGGAAGATGTTATTTAAGAGTTGTGTAATAGCTGATCTCTTCTTTAACGTCTTTCTTTTTCTTTCTCCGAGTGCGCGATGGTCATCGTTGTGTGAAAAACACAGGACTTTAACCTCCCAAGTTCAAGAAAAAGCACAAGTGTATAATGCGCTCTCTCGCATCTGATAAGATAAGCGCTCGACTGGAAACAATGAGAAAACACACACACACACACTCTTATTATATTCGAGTCTGGTAATTATAAACTATTACGCACCTCCAGCAGCAGCAGCAGCCGAACGAACGCGCCGGGGTCAACAAATTCGTTTCTCATTCTTTTCGTTTTCTTTCGAAATTTTTTTCTAGAAAGAGAATTGCTGCCTTCAAAATATTTATATTTTCTTCTAAAATTTTCTCATTGGATTGTATTGTTGCTCCAGTGGAAATTTATCTTTAAGAACACACTTAGACAGACGGTAAATAGTTTTCTACAATTTTTTATTTTTTATTATCATGTCTCAAAAAACTTTCCTCCAATAACGATTTGAATTGAATCACTTCAGGAATAAAATATTTTTTTGCGAATTGTAAAAATATTGCTCAGAGCATGGCTGGAAATAAAATTTTATGAACGGACAAGATTTTTGCGTGCAAAATATTATTGCAATTTTTCACATTTTTTCAGTGTGTTCAACTGTGAAAAATCCAAATAAATGGTTTAAAAATAATATCATTTTGTTCAAAATTTTATCAATAATATTAGGTTATTGTAAATTAAAAAAAATTGACTGCTTATGGCGCTGTTTGCTCCCCCATTGCGTGGAGGTGAGTGGCCAAAGCAAGATAAACAACACCGAAAATAGCTGTAAACGCCATAATTGTGCCGCAGGAGATAAACGTGCACCGCTCGGAAAAGTCGAGCAAGCAACGGAAAAGGGCCTCGGAAAATCACGTTTGCTTGTGAAACCGGCGCCAAGATCACATTGCCAATAGTGTTTGGTGCACGTGCGCCCTTACTTGACGTCACGCTCCTCGTGCACTAATCCAGCCAGATACGTTTATTCGCCATAAGCCGCCCATCGCGTGTCCCATCTGCATGCACAGGGGACTGTTTTTTTAGCGTGATCGCCAGAAAAATCACCGATTGCACAACCCGAATTGTACCGAAATAGCGCTGTTTTTTCTGCTGCTTGACGCGCGCGAATGCTAAGAATAGCCTCATTTTGTAACTAAAACGTATTTTCCTTACTTGGAAAGGTCAATCCATTGAAAGGTTAATTAGCCTTGTCAAAAAGAACATCTAAATTTAAGAGAGAAAATATAATAATAATAAAAAACTAAAGAGTAAAAATTTATTAATTTTGGAAACAATAAATACCATTTATATGTTTAATGTTTTAAAATAATGGATTAATTTCAGAACAGCTTTCTAAGATATCAATTTTGTTGTAATTTTCCTTAACAAAAACAAGGAAAAGTAATGGGTAAATTGATTTCCAGAATCCAGTTTAATTCATTTTTAAATTTAAAATGCAATTTCAGTACAGATAATAACAAAATTAAAAAAAAAATGCGTTTTTAATTTGACTGATTTGATCTTTTTTTAATGTAAAAGTATTGTGCATAATTTGTATCTTAGAAAATCTTAAATAAAAGATAAGTAAACTGAACTTTGACTTCAAAAGCATTTTAAGAGAAATGACATAAATCAAGCTGAAAATTTTCAACGAATGTGAAAGTAAGAGGCGCACCAAGAGTTAAGACTGCACGATTCCCTGCATTTGGCTTGCACTTTTTTCTGTGTGAATGACACAAAATTACAATCAGACGTGGTATTATTCGAGAGATGCGCGAGTGAAAGAATGCTGCATCCACATTCAGTTCGACTTTCTAATGCAACAAAAATCATTCAAACCGGCCAATCGTGCATTTCTCGCACACCTGTGGAGCTTGGCAAAGAAATCGCGTGATCTTGAGAAGTGCTTTTCCCATATATCAATCGGAATCCAAATTATCACTAAGGGGGTAGGGTACATCAAAGCAGACATCACGTGCTCGGCAAATAATACGTCTCAATGCCAGACGAAGTGGCTAAAATTATTGCACAATTTCCAGCACCTGTCCGTTATCTGCCAGTCTGCGTATTTTACACTAAATCAATGAGTGTCCATCTTAATTTTAACGTGCGATGTCTGGCGATCATGAAAGCCACACGTGAAAGATAAAAAATAACTAAAATCCGGGGTGGTTATATAACAATTCTAATTAATAATATGTGTTGGACTTCGGCGCTTCAAATAAAACGCCGTTTGTCCTCGCGCATCGGGCCACTTTTGATATAATAGATAAGTCGTTACCATGCCCCGTTTGCTTAACATGTTTGCTTCGTTTTCCTTCCAGATCCAACGAACACACTCACACACACAGCCCTCCAACGATGAAAAGTTTCAATGAATTAGACAATCCAAAAATCAATATCAATAATTTTATTTTTTCGAATTCAACACACAAAAGTGTCAAAAGATAAAAATCTGTTAACAAACTCCTGTCTGTGGAACATTCACCGAGCAAAGCAAATTTTATTCAGGGACAAAAGTTGACTGACAATTAATAAAAATAAAAAAATGCATCACTACGTGCTAAAGCTTTGCACTAACGTTGACATGCTCAGTTTGATCTCTTTTTGGATGTTTAAATTGATTAACTTAGCAAGACGTACAATCAAAACAACCAGTTCGAGTAAGTATATGCGAATTTTTTTTCCTTGAAAGAAGGATTGCAGAATGAAATAAAAACAAAAACAACTGAAATCGGCAATAATGGATTATTCCTTCCGGCCAAGGTTTTATTTTCCGGCTTGCAGTTTTTTTGTCATTAATTTTCTTTATTTTGTTTTCTGCTTTTTCTCTGTGTCTCAAATATGGTTAAATATATACAACACACTGAGCAGTCAAACCGAAACAGAGGCGATAACCAGTACTTCTTCTCTCTCTCTCTCCCTCTTCTCTTTTCCTAGCGGCGAGTCTCGTTCGTATAAGTAACGCGATTTTTTTATCACCGCCGCCTGTTATGCGGGCAGAATGTGCCGAAAAAGTAGGCCGCGAAAGTAGACGATCGCTGGCGAAGAAAGAGAGAAAGAGAGACGGAGACCCTTCGGCAGACTCCGGAGCGTCTCGAGCCCTCCACTTTTGGCCCTGTTTCGGTTTCGCTCTCTCTGAACCTTGAGGCTCGGCGGCAGCAGCGGCTCAGTTTGCTTCATGTTGTGATTGCAGACATGAGTATCGAGCTCATCAACAACAGCCCACCGCGGCAGCAGGTTTCCTCAAATAACACCCCGTGGAGGCCGCCGCCCCTAATGGAACATACCCACCAGAATCAGGAACATCTTCAGGGACCCTACGCTCCCCATCCTGGTAAGTTTATTTCAAAGTTTTTTTCTATTTTATAAAATAATTTTAATAGAGAGCTCAACATTGACCTACAAAAATTAAGCTTATAGGAAGTTCAAAATTTTATTAATAAAACAATTAAAATGTTTTAAATCTCTTAATTTCTTAGTATTTTATTTATATTAAAACTATTTGGAAAACCAACGATTTTATGGTATATTTTTGGTATATAGCCAAAATTTGAATTCAATTGAGATTTTTTTTTAATTTCTAATTTTTAAAGCCATCTAAAAATTTTTGATATATCTTAAAAATTTTTTTTTTAATTTTATAAATATTTTTAAATATTTATGAAATTTAAAAAGAATTCCAGCGAGTTTAAATAAACAGTTTTTAATTTTTGCCCGCATTGAGAGATGATATTGAAATGTCCTCGCATCAGTTTAATGCTGACGACCATTATATATCGTTAGGCCTTTTGCAATGCAGCGTCCGTTCGCCTGGAATTGCAAATAATACAATTCTCACGTTGAGGGTCCACCACGTGAACCACCAATACTTTGAAATTCCAAGGGCGCAAAGACCTCGCAGAGTTAGCGACCCCACAATGGAGCGTGCGAGATGCTTTTTTCCATCTCTCCCCGAGAGGGATTCATTCACCTTAAACACGCGAGGACGATGAAAAGAACTCACTTGTTGTCTTTTCTTGGCGTAAGAGAAAAAATAAAGGAGTGCAGTGACACTTGCAACGAGCTACTTGTTGCGGCAAACCATACTTTATTCTAGGACGGAAGGAATTGAGAAATCCCCCCGCGTGAACTAAATTAAATATGAAAATACAGAGAATATATAATTAGCGGGGTATATATATATTTTTTTAAATTCTTCAAATTTCTATCATAATTATATTTCATTTCCAATTTTTTTTTATGAAATTTTGATTTGTTTTTTTCTTTCTCCTGAAGCTGATCTGAAAAAATCGTGATCAGATTTCCGTTCTGCAAAGGTTAAAAAACCGCTATGAAATCTGCCCTGTTCGTCAATTGCTTCCCAACAATGAGTGTCAAGTTGCGCAACAATGGTCCACTTATTTGCATGCGACCACTCCCAGCGCGTGAAATAATCACGGCCTGTTCTGCGAGTACCGCCGTTTACTGCACGACGAGCGCATTATCTATCCTATCGGCGCGGTACAGTTATGTGTTTTACTTTTGTGACTTGGTTACCGGCTGGCTAACCTACTTCCCCGCGCCACCTACGACTCGTTCGCCGCTCATCCGCCTTGCTCACAATTATTTTGAAAATTATGTTGAACTTAGAATATTTCAATAAATTAATTATTTTTTAATAGAAATAATAAATTATACGATAAAAATAGAGTTTGTGTGAGCGTTAGAAATACTCTTGAGGTTGGATGTCGTGACATGGGGTTATGTAATGAGCTAAAGGGCAGTACTGTGTACCGCCTCCTCCATCAAAGTCCAATTCAGTGAGCGGTTGTAAACTGAGTCAATAAATATGGAGCAATAAAATAATAAAAAAAACTTTAAAATCTGCATAATAATTGCTTCGAAAAAGAAAATATCTAATTTTTGTATTATTATAAGAAAATTTATGCGAAAATTTAAATTTAATAACAGTTAATTTTTAGTAAATTTTAAGTTGCTAAATTTCAGAAATTTCTCAAAAATCTTGAAACGGTTAAATTTTTTAAGTTTTGTTGATAAGCATAAAAAAAATATTTAATATCGCCGTAAGATTAATTTCCAACTAGAGGGAATTCAATTTCTAGAGCAACCACAAATTTAAAAAAAAAAGTTAAAAAAGATTTAACTAAACTTACGACCTCGATTTAATTGCAAGAAAGTTCCGAAACAACTATTGATTAAAATTTAAATTACAGTCAATGGGTTCAAAAATTTGTTAACTCTTTTAATAGAAGCAATTCCAGTTGCATTGCGAGCAATGGTATAAATTATGCAAGTGTCGCAGCGGGTTCATTGGCTGGCGATGCAAATGAGCCACGGGGAGCAAAACTCACACTCACTGCTCAACTTTCATCAATGGCTTACTTGTCAGTGCATTAATTAGCCGCCAGGAACGAAAACACATACAAAGTGTTGATGAACCCGCCGAGAGCTAATATGCAATCCGCGAGGGAAAGCAGCCCGGTTTTCAGCGCCGCGCGCACTTATGCATCATGAATTATCTAACCTCGATATTGTAAACGGGGACATTGACTTTCGCCAGATGAGATGCACCGCCAGTCACTCGCGGGCCTTTTACACAGCAAGCAAGCGCCAAACCGGGTCATTTCTCTTTTGCAGCCGTCGCGCTCTCTAATCTTTCTCTCTCCCTCTTTCTCCCACTGTCATTGCCAATTCGCAACGACGTGCCATTTAGCCGGCGAATCTCACGCTAATTGCGCGCAGACAATCTTTCGACTTGATCACCGCGCCGAAAAAAGTGTACATACTCCTCTCTGTACCTTCTCTTTTTTGTCAGCGGCGGGAGAAACGAAATTGGAAGATGCAAATTATCATTCAGTTGCTCGCGGGAAAAGAAAGTTGGAAGATAAAGTTTGAAAATAAATTGACACTTCAATTAATTTAAATTTATTTACTATGAATTTATAAAATTTTGAAAGTAAGGAATATCTGACAATGAATCAAATTAAAATATCAAATGTATAATTGACTTGCAAGTGGGATATTTACTATTTTTCATTTCAATTATATTGAATCAATTTATTTGATAAAAATTTAATTTTAATTTTTAGATGTATAGAAATGCGAGTAATAGTTCTAAGTTCTAAATCTTCCTTCTTCCTTTTAGAAAAAATTAATTAAAATACTGAAAAAGACTTAGAATTGCTATTGCTATGTAAGAGACTTTAGATGGCCTACGAGGGTTTGTGCAAACATATAACATGTGTTATGGAATAATAGCCACGAGGGGTTGCATAACGAAAATGGCAGGCACAGTCGGTCCACGTGCCACCGAGACACGTTTGTATGGACTTGGCTTGCTTGTTGCGTAAGCCAACACACGTCCCAATCACTTGCCAAAACGATCGGAGAAGAGTCTGGCTCTTTCGCTATCATCAAAACGATCACAATATCCTTTGCGACTACTATCAGCATACATTTAAACCGTGCAATCCTGTCATATTTCATAATAAAAAGATTAAGAACCAGCAAGATTCGTGATTTAGGAACAAAGGTTTAACAATAAGTATAGGTGTCTATTAAAATGTATTTTTCTTTTGGCCCTCTTTCCTTCCTTCTTATTTGTGGGTCAAATGTTATTCACCGTCTGTTGCATAAGAATACGTAGTTCGCTTCAATCCTTGGCCGCGATGACGGAACCAAATAAATAATAAATTCAATTTTTTTTGTTCAATAGTCTTGCTGCAAACTTGTTTGTGTACAATTTTGAGAGTATGGATTGAGGCGCTTCCTTTTTTGTAGCGACGCCCAATGACAAAGCAACCATTGTGATCCATGAAATTATCGTCAGCTGAAAAAAATATTCCCCAATTTAGCAATATTTTAAGTAAGAAGAATTGTGAGCAGAAAATGAAACAAAAAAGCATTTCATTTTGTTTAAAATGGAAAAATAAATAAATAATTTAATTTTAAGATTATTTTCTTAAATGTTTTAAGATAAGACGATGTATTAAACAATTAAAATGTTTGATGGATAATTGAGCAGAAAGGTTTCAGTTTGCGTCATTTAGCCATATTTTTCAATATATGCGAGCTTTTCCGGTGTAGCCGGTGCCAGCTGGTTTTTTTTTCGTGCTTTCACAACCGATGATGTGTACGGACCATCGACCAGACCGCAGACAAAAGGCACGTTGTCGAATGTGTGCACAATCAAGGACAGAGCTAGGAGTTGTAATATAGACCGCAGTATGGCCGAACATCCTGCCCTGTCGAAGGACGCAGTCACGTTGACTGCAACATGGGCAGATTTTACTATTAGCGTGAAATTTTGAAATTAATAACCAGAGCCGGAGTAAAATAAATTATAATACACTTTGCTATTTGTTTATAAATATTTTTTTCTCAAAAAATTACCCAATGAAGGGCAGGAAATCGTTTATCTTTTGAAATGGGACTGAAACTCAAACCTGCAATTTTATTTTTTAAGTAGTATTTTTATCACGTGTTTAAACACGCAAGGTTTCCGAGTTTGAGGCAAAAGTGGGGCGGCCAACACGGTTGGATTGTTGCTGGGCAAAACGTGGAAATTGAAACTAAATGAATTTTGTTTCCAAAAGTAAAAAAAAAAAACACGTTTTTATCTAAAATTACACGTCCATAAGCTGCAATTCTTTGAAATAAAAAGGTGCACAACACAATGAAACAAATTTGTTTATAATCACATCTTTCATATCCTCTGATTGTGAGATTAAGTTATTTCAAAGATTAATATTATAAGAATTACTAAAACTAAATTCCATTGAAATTTGGTTGCTTGTTTTAACTTTAAAAATTTAATTGAAAATGTGCGATTTCAAAATTTAGAGCTGCGAGAAAGAAATCACGGCTAGTGTCCACCCTAGGTTGTCCCACTTTGCGAAAGCCAGTGCGAAATTCCGCTAAATCAAATCCTATGCACATGTTGTGATATGCCTGCGGTACCAAAAGAATTCAGCCGAACTTTTGTCTAACAAGTGAGTCACGCGCCTGAGAATAAACCCCACGTACAGTCTGTCGACTGGTGGTGTTGCCAGCACGTGCAAATTCTGTGCTGAAATTCGCGAAAATACTAAAGAAAGAATTAACCCAAATTATTCCGCCTTAAGTAAAGACCAAAGATAGGATGATGGAGAATGTCGGCTTTTGACGGTTGCGTATTTTGTTTTTGCGCATCCAGGCCCACTTCCTCAAAGAGTTAACTTTGATCGACCCTTGCTTTCGCGTACAACGATAATGGCCCCTGCTGCGCTTGTTTATAATTTAGGGGCATCCGCGCTCCTGTTTGCTTCAGCAAGCAGTGATCCTGAATGGAAAGGCTCAATTAAAATTGAAAATATAAAGATTTGATATAAAATGGAAAGGATTCCTGACAAAAATTTTAATTATTTCTTCAAAAACAAATAAAATTGTTTTCAAGAAGTGTCCCGGATTACCTGCCCTTCGTCCCTCTTATTCAATTTATCCATTGTTTTGATTCGCCATTGTCTACGTATGTCGTTTTGTTGGATCTTCACGGTTCAGAAAATAACAAGTGGTTGACCCTGCCTCATTATCCACGAGCGCGCGGAGAAATGTACATTTGAAAATAATACAACGCGCACGAGCGCCGAGAATAATATAAAAAAAATAATGTAATCATAGTCAGCAAAGGGTTCATAGCTCTCTGATTCTCTGAGCGCGACGACGTAACATTCACCTTGCTGAGGTGTCATAATTGAAGGCAACCTTGCTTGGTTTCGCGGAGCAAGGTCCCGCGCGCGCCGGTCTCAATTTCCTGGTCAGACGAGGAAAGAAAAGCGTCTTGATCGCCCGCGACCTCACTCAGGCTGCCCATCTCGCTATTTCCGCCGACAAGCAGGTGACACTTGCCACCTCTAAATATACCAAACTTGCAAGATGAATCGCTCCGCTTTGCCGTAAGGTCAGCTGCGGAAATTCGCAGAGCGGCCTTATATAATTGCGACCAAAGATAGCTTGAGGACCACGCCTTGGTGTATTAATTTTGGGTTCTCTCTGTCAAGGATGTTTTTATATTTATGGCCCAAAGTTAAATGGTTCGGACATTATTTGCATTTAGCACAGTCATTGGTTCGCAGAATGTTTTAACTTCCCGGTTTTCAAGGATTGTTATTTTCAAAATAATAAGATAAAAGTATCAAATTCCCATCGAGTATGTTGAACTTTTCCTCTCTATTGTAACATTATTTTATTTTTTATTTTTTAGAATTAAATTTGATCCGCCGCACTTTTATTATTTCTTCTACCGCTTTGGCAAAAAATATATAAATCCTGTAGGCAAATAATCGTAAAAGTGCGGTTAAAAATAGAAGCACGTGGATCGGCGGCGTGATACAATATTTTTCATCCGCCCTAATTGAACTCGGTGACTTTTACTGCCTCCTCTCTGCAGAAGCGCTGGGTTCGCGAAGGGGGCATTCTCCGCGAATTACGTAACTGCGGAGTTGTTGTGTGACTCACGGAGGGTGGCCCCACTTCTCATCGCGCGCACTCGCGCTCCCCACCCGAGCTGCGTGCTCCACAACAACAACAGCCTTTCCTTCCTACCGCACACCAAACAGTCAGAGTGCTGCCTTCGTTGTGTGACCAAGTGGTGAGCACCAAGCGCTTGTGCTAGTCCGAAGTCAGTGACCTACACACTAACCACCCTGGATATTCTAAATAGTAACGCCATAACCCCTCCGGCCTCCGTTATCGGTGAGTTTCGGTCCGCAATTCATATAATTTTTTTTTATTCCCGTAAAGCCCAACTTAAATATTAATCCAGATTAATTACGAATTTAGACAAACGAAGGACTGAAAAAATGTCTCATTGGTGAAAATCGGCAAAGTCCGAAATGAAATCACCCCTTATATAAGCGCGTTGCTAAGGCGGAATAAGATACACTGGTGCCCTAGAAAGCGCCTCGTGTTTTGCGCCACATTTCTTTCTTTCTGTTCTCATTTGCCGTAAACTCGATTTAAAGTAAAGTAGGATTCAAAACAAGTCTCCGTGTACACAAAATTCCGCTGCTGTTTTTTAGTAGTGAAAATTCAATTTAAAACAATGGTTGAGTATTTTAACTTGATCTCGCCAAATATATTCTCTAAAAAAATTTATAAAGTAATCCACTTTACTAAATAATTCTGATTCATGGGATATTCCGATGAGAATAATTATGCAAAGTCAATGTCAATGTTTTTGTTTTGCGCCGGCCACGAAATGCCAGCCAGCCCGCGGCGATGGGTGGGGGTTGGTGATTAGAGATTGCCGAGGGGCCGCTGCGCACCATTTGAGGTTCACTTACTTATACTCTCAGTCAGTCAACCAGCCGAGTTGGAAGACGCACGTGAGGCTTCTTCACGTGGCATATGCCTTGGTGCTTGGCTTGTTTTGCAAAGACCTGTTGCTAATAAGACACCCTCATGGACCCGAATTTTTGTCTCGGTAAGATGAGACTGCCGATTCTCTCGGACATTTTTCAATAATCCGGTTTTAGGGTGACAGGCGCACTAGATTTAAATTAAATTTCGATTTGTAAGTAATTTTCATTGTAGATTTTTAACACGGCAAATTTAATTATTGCTTTAATTAGGAATTTAAAAAATTTAAACTTCACAATTTAGGGATGGAACTTAGAGATTTAAAGTATTAGAATTTTCTTTTCATTGTTGAGCTCCAAAGAAATAAATATGATTTAAAATAAAAAGAAAATTAAAAATGTGATAAAAGCGAACTATTGTCTTATGAATTTAATTTTTTGTTACAGACGTCCTCAGACATCGAATCATGGTAGCCGAATTCGTGGCGCGTCACGCACCACCCAGCAGTCAGGAGATGATGAACGGAGGACAGAGCATGTACGAGCCGGTGCGCGACTCACCAGTGAGCTCGCCAAACCCGGACTCGAACGCCAGCGAGCACTACGGGCCCGACGGCTACAACAACAACAGCAACTTGTCCAACGCAGAAATGCTGAAACGCAAGGAAATCTTCAACCAGCGCAAGCAGCGCGAATTCATCCCGGACAACAAGAAGGACGACAGCTACTGGGACCGGCGGCGCCGCAACAACGAGGCCGCCAAGCGTTCGCGCGAAAAGCGCCGCTTCAACGACATGATTCTCGAGCAGAGGGTCGTTGAACTCACCAAGGAGAACCACGTCCTTAAGGCCCAACTGGCGGCCGTCAAGGACAAATTCGGCCCGCAGGCCGACAACCTGATCAGCATGGATCAGGTCATGGCGACTGTCCCACCGCCCGAGCTGTCAGTCAAGAGGGCCAAGGTCAGTCCGCCGCGACCTCACCCCACCTCGGTCATCCACGAGCCCGTCTCCAGCGCCTACCCGCAGTCCGAGAGCGCCTTCGCCCCTCCGGAGCCCCACCAACACCCTCACCACCACGAGTACGCGCCCAACGTCTCCCCTGTCTACCCCTACGCCATGCACCTGGCGCACCCCCTGGCCCTGAGCACGGCGGCCATCGCCAGCCTGGACGGCAGCAGCGCCCTGAACCTGAGCAGAAGTCGCTCGCCGGTTTCCAGTCCGGCCGAGAGCAGCGACGAGGGCATCCTGGTGTCCAGGTCGCCGCCCGCCGACTACAGCTCGCTGCCCCTCAAGTTGCGCCACAAGCGCGGCGAAAAGGACGCCGCATCCACCCTCCTCGCCCTGCAGGCCATCAAGCAGGAGGCGAGGGCCTCTCCGCCTTGGGACGCCGAGGGCAGCAGCGACGAGCGCGACTCAGGCATTTCCATCGGCGCCGAGTGGCCTGCCCAGACACAACCCGCCCTGCAGCGCCGCGACGCCTCGCCGGCGCCGCCTGACGAGAGTCTCGAGTGTGAAAACTCGCAGCTCAAGTCGCAGTTGGCCCGCCTCGCCTCCGAGGTGGCCAATCTCAAGACCATCCTGACGAGGAAGGTGGACGAGGGCGTCGGACACCAGACCGGCGCCTCCCTCTAACTGCTCTAAAGGCGCGTCCGAAATTGATCTCTGCGCTGTTCCGGAGAGCTGATCTGCGAGGTGAAGCACAAGGCTGACGGAGTCCAGTTGCGCCGTATTTATTCTTGCATTTCGTGTTTTGGCGGGGAAACGCATTCTGGAGGAATTGGAGTAATAAAAAAAAAAAACAGAGAGACAGACAAAAAGAAAGAAAAAACGCGACTCCTGTGATTTAGAGCGGCTAGTGTGTTTTACTAAATGTAACCAACTAACTCGAGTAGGATAAACTACTTCTGCTATTTTGTATGATCACGTTTTCCCCCCGGCGGCTGGACGCTGCAGGCCTCCTCTTTGCAGGACCCCGAGCCGTCCGCCCCAAAAGCCACTTTCAATACTTGATTGTGTAATTTCTTAAAATATTTCACTTCTTCTGCTCCCACTGATAACATTGTTTTCTAAGTTGGCTAAGTATTTATGTCTTTAAGTTATTTTTTTGCGATCGGCTCCACCTTGCTGGCTGATCACGACACTGCGTTTGTTAATTTATGTTGATGTAAACACTGTATTTTGACGTGTAAATAAATTTTGATAAAAATAAAAAACAATAAAAATAATTATTATCTAGTTTGATTGTTTTCAAATCTCACAAATAGGAATTGAGTGAGCAAAGAGCTTTAAGTTGCAATGCTCAATTAAATTTAAATATTAAAAAGTTTTTAACAATTATTATGGAATAAAATCCATATGTAACAAAGCAAAGTCCATGAATTATAAATAATAATAAAAGTGAAGTAAATTGTAATTAAATATTCATTTTAGATTCTATTTGAATAGTATGAACATAAATAAAATGTGATATAATCATATTTAATTGTGTAGAAGATAATACATTAAATAATTTAATTTGTGATAATCAATTATTTTTTATTTTGTAATTACAAATCTGCTTTAATTTATAAATAACGTTTATATCATATTAGGAAATCATTTTTGGTTTAAAAATTGAGCTTGGACTTTTCGACTTATCAAATCACATTATTTTGTCACGTTTCACAACATGAAGGGGCAATACCAGAACGATTATGTCATTCGCCACACGCTCTTGTTCTTATCGACGACGACGACGAGGCAGCCTCCCCATTAACCTCCAGCGGCTCGCGAATGTGGAGCACCAGTTGCGTAACCCCGGCCTTATCTGAGCTGCATCTTTATCTCTCAATTATTATTTTGATGTGTGTGTACGTGAATATAATGATTGCGTCCATCTCATCGGCAGCGTAACATTCTCGTAATCACGTCCCCAACGCCACGCGAGCGCAAAAACAACAATTAGATTTTTTCCGACGACCCCGAGCTTATCTTGCTGTGGCTGACTGAAATGTTGACAGTCACGTTTTCTGGTACGTTTGGTACATTTGATTGTTTTGCAAAATAAAACTCTTATCAAATAAAATTGGAAACAGGTACGCGTCTTCTAATTACTCGGAACGATTCATTTTTATCTAGAGGACAATCAGAACGTTTTGCAAGTTCTTATATGTTCCGAGAAAATTGCGTTAGAGTTATTGACCGGAATCAATTGACGTAAAGATCAGACGTAAGTAAGAAAGTGCTATAAGTCCTGATTAATTCTTTTCAGATTTCAGTTGCGTCAGAAAAATTGTGCTGTTATCTTGTCTTCGAGCATTGTGTTGAAAGAAAAAAATCATCAAATTGCAAAAACTATCTTGTAGAATCAATCTTGAGACGGTGGTACAAATAATTTGTTTTAAATGCAGAAAGTATACTATTTGCATTTCAAATGATGCTGATTCATTTATCACTGGATATTTTCTGTCCAAATTCACCATCTATAAATTCATTATTATAAATTTTATTGGTTACAAGAGAGAGAATAAAATCAAAAATTTAAATAATTTAATTTAATTTTTACGCAGATTAAATGAATTTATCTTCAATTTAATTTAAAATTTTGACTCCAGATAAAAAATTTGTCACGAAATTTTTAAAATCAATTACTTAAGAACTTATCAAACAACTAAAACACATACGCTTTAATAATGTAGTTTTGAAAGAATTTCTCGTCTCAAAATTTTCTCAATAATTATCAAAATTATGAAATCTTGATCGTGTGTGCATTCAACAAGGTCAACTTTAGGTCAACAAGCAGGAAGTTCGAAATTTGGAATCCGTAGAGCTACCTAATTAGTCTGCCGCATGGTATGCAGATCAAAGTTTCATGGTGAGCCACTTCAAAAAAATCGATGAGGCAACTGGAAATGCCCGCACCATCTTTTTACACTTGTGCATCTCTCCCTTTCTATTTCGGGGCTGTGAACCTTGAGGACAGAGAGAAGCTGCGTGTTTTGTCAGACGTTTTATTTATCCCTTTTCAGCATCCAGCGCCCACTCACAGGATCAGGCCTGCTGGGAATTTCAACTAATCACACGCACGCCTGATTAATCAGGCTTTCCGATTCTTTTTGCGTTTTAAAATTTTAAACACGGTTTTTTCTTCTTGAGAAAATGAACATATTTGATTACTAATAATAAATAATATTTCTGCTAAAAATTCAGGTCATGGATTTGAAATTAATTTACAGTGCTTTCTTATCACTGCTTTATGAGACCAAAGCAAGTCCATTAAACTTTATTTGCAACAGAGTGAGGGTTAATTAAGGCCACGCAATGACAAGTGAGTTAATAGTTAATCCTATAATAGAGTTTATTGATAAGAAAAACTATTTTTTTCCAGAAAAAATGATGCAATCGTAAATTAGCGATTAATATTATCACTCTTTCGTTGACGCCCGAGAGTCTCAGTCTTTTGCGCACTTGAATTATATCAACGCGAAATAAACTGTGTCGCATTAGAATAAGCAGCTGCGCCCACATTATAAATTTTTTGTGCAGTAATCAACACGCCGATAAACACACCAATGATTCACCAAAAGCATCTTCTCGATCGAGCTGCAAATTTATTGCGGGATTATTTATATTGTGACGCTTGGAAAGAAACTTGACCTTGTTGCACGAGCGAGTGGTTGAACTTGATGTTGGTTTATATTCGGCCGCGCTAATGGATTGCAAAATTTCAAAAATAGCAGCCGCACGATTTTAGCCGCGCGGTGACATTTCGAATGGGGATGGGTTTTTCGCCCTCTTTTGAACAGTGATTCTCGGAAGCGCAGTTAAGAAGAGACGCTGATGCGTTTATGTGCGAGTCGGTTTGTTGTGAGTATTATTTGCACTTCAAAGCTAATTGCAAACAAGTACGTACGGACAAGAAGTGCAATGCTCCGCCGCGGCCGCGGTGTTACGGGGGGCGCGCTGCGTGTTTCGCAAGCGGTGATCCTTGGACCTGTTGGCTCGCACCCAGCCCATCCTTTGTGCAACTCATCTCTCTTCTTGAGAGCTGCGTGAATAAGAGATCGCCGACGGATATGCAATTCTGCTGGGAAACGGGGCCAGAAAAATGAGCTTGTAGCTCACAATGGACCCTTTTTAAAAGAAGACAAGCAATTTACTTAGGCCTTTGAGGATATTCCTGTAACTAAAAAATTAATTAGATAATGATAAAGAAAATAATGACACTTGAATAATTATTGCAACGCTAAACCGATATAAAATGTTATCATTCTTAAACATTTGGGATTTTTATTTTGAGATTGAGTCAATGGAATTTACAGTCCAATATTCCAATCACTATACTGCTTCTGTACTGCTTGTCATAATCTCCTTTAATTATATTTTGCTAGTCACTATTCCGTGCAATGATGACGCGTTTTCAAATTAACCAAAATAATTTACAATTCTATTGAATTGAATGGTAACACTCGAGGTGGATTTCATGAAAGATTGAAATCTGCATTTTTGGAAAGTTCAAGAAATTTTGTAAAAGTTGTCATCTGATTAATAGATCATAGCTTAATAATTTCAAATAATTTTGTTAATTGTGGATTTTTTTATGTCAATACAAGATGATTAATTTTAATTGATTTCCTTAATCTTTAGTTAACTATTTTGCTTGTCTCAAAAAAATTGACAGGTAAAAAATTCCTGTTATTTATAATATCAATCAAGACTTAATTTATTCTAAAATTAATTGTAATTACTATAAAAAATATTCCTTCACGGACAGTTCTCATGCAGCCAAAGTTTATTATGGCAAAAATCAAAATTTAAAAACTTATTCTAACGTGTACTGTTTTTAGAATTCCTTTATTTAACTAAATAATTGTCATAACACAAATTAATGAAATGAAGAGCAAACAATTTTTTACATTGAAAGTTCTTGTAAATGTTAAAAATACAAATAAAAATTAATTGAAAATAAATAAATTGTTTAAAGCTGCCAATTGACTGTAAGCAAAATGTTTAAATTTATTTACACATTTTTTTTACCACCGTTGCTAAATTTTCTCTCTCTTAAATTCAAATCGTTTTATAATATGAATTGATTTTAAATAACAACTTGTGCACGAGCAAATAATTTTACAAGAAATAAGCTATTCTTCGTGCTGTGCATGCAGCAAAGTGGTCCACACATGTCTGCATTATTTTATATAACACACTTTTACGTAACCTGCTTTTGTTTCTCGTGCCGCACATGAATGAGACGTCTTCGATCTCCTTCACTCCACGTGGACGTTTCTTTTGAATAGGAAATGTGTGTTGCGGCGTGAATACCCCATGAATATTGTAATCTGCGGATTCGCATTCATATCGATTCCGCCGACGCAAGCCGCAAGAGGCTTTCGAAATTTTTATCCTTGAAATAGAATCTTGGCAAAACTTTGACTTGAGAAACGCGCCAAAGCAAAATTTCGCATTTCGGTCAACGGTTTCCGTATGGCGAGCGAACTGTCCAAGGATCGCGAACGGGCTAATTACTTTGAAAATAGGGGAATTTCACAAAATCCGTTGCCTTGCTATTATGGACAAAACAAACTGCACAAAGCTTTGTTAATTGATTTTTTTAAATATTCAAATTATTGAAAAGATAACATATATTTTGAATAATTTGTTTTCTTATTTCACTCACTCATTATCTTATTTATTGTAAGTGTAAATTAAAAAATATTTCAACACTTTTTTCAAACAAATTGTCATTGGAGACGTGTTAATTTATTTCATTGCACTTTAGTGAGCAAATTGTTGCATAACTGACTCGCGTTGCGCTGACGAGACGAAGATTAGAAGTTTGCTTGGCAGAGTGCAACGAGCGGGTGCAATTACACCAACAAGTAGATTTGCACCTGCCTGGGTCTAAACAGAGTGCAAACACACGCGCGGCAGTGTATATAAATAAGTATTCACAAAATTAACAAGCCAAGAGGGGTAAAAACGTGGTGAGGTAATTTCTTTAAATACACGAGGACGCATAAAAGTCGCTATCTGCATCACAAACTCTGCCTATTTTAGATTATTTGAAGTTCAATCACGGAAGTTGCGGTTTTGGTTCAGCACCAAATGGCGATACTGTAAACAATTTCAATCTGAATAAAATATATTATGGAGTATATTGGGGAATTTTGTAGCAAAATTATCAAATATTTTAATAGAATGTGGTCAATCCTCATCACAGGACAGAATTAATATGTAAGAGTCATTGTTATTTTCATATAGTTTGATATTTTATTAAAAATAAATCACTATCGTGCAGTTTTCCCTGTTGTGTGCGTTCATATCTGATGATGTAAACGTGTGCAAAAGTTACATGATTAAAAGCACGTCAGCAACGTTTTTTTATCTCATCCTGCTGCTACGTCCAGCATAGCAAAACATAAATCCTAGATGAACACATTTTGGAGAATGGGAATCCTAGAATATTATTAATTTTTTTCAAAAAATTTTACTCCAACTTAATATTATGGTTAATTCAAACACGTTTTCCCCCGATTTTAATTTTTTAATATTTCGTCCTTATTAAAGAGAGGATCATTTTAATATTATTTAAATAAAATATTCTTTGACCTTCAAAAGTATGAGTTTAGTGTTTCATAATTTTTCAGCGAACACCAGCCAGATTGACTTGTGGTTTCTCTCAATAATTAATTATTAATCTTGAATGTGATTAAATGCATCATATTTATTTAATTTATACCATCATCGTTGTTTTAAATTTCAACACACTTTACCTTTCTCTAACGACTTAAAAGCAACATTATGTAAAAATTTAAAGAAAAGCAAATCAATAATTTATTATTTTCATTTATCCTCGTCTTGTTATTGGGTAACACGTCTACTATAAATGTACATACACTACAAATATGTGTCATCTTGATAATATCTATCATCATTATTTATTTATGATTATACCATATTATATTCAATAGATTGGCTTACTCAGAATTTATATACAAATTTTCACGGTTTTCATCCCGTTTTAAATTATGATAATGATTTTTTTCAATAAAAAATAAATGCTCTGATTTTATTTGAAAAGGACCAAGCGACTTTTTAAATTTTCGCCATCCCACTGCAACAACAAGCCTGCTCATTCACACTAAGAAATTCATTAGATAAGACGAATCTAAATTAGCAACGGACCGATTGACTGTAGCAGGTGAAATGGTTTTATCAGTGCAATGAAATAAAACCTTACTTGGGTGCGCATGAGTGCGTTGTTTAAACTTTAAACGGGTACGCGCGGATTGTACTTGACCCCTGCGTGATGCAAGGAACTCGCGTGTCCCTTGGTACACTCGCACTTCACAGAGGACTGGATTGACGACGCCCTTTATATAATTCTCATTATTTCACATCTCGCTTGACCTTCGAATACTGCAAAAAAAAAAAATGAATTATAAAACGTCCTTATTCGTCCTTCAAAATTTATATAATTCAATTGTGTTACCATATCATACTTTCCGCCCAGAATCCCATTTGACCCAGTAGATCA